TATTCTAAAGTAACTGGTTTGGACATTTTTCTCTAAAACAAAGGACCATTAGATTCCAAATCAACACAATAAAAATCAACATGATAAAAAAAACCGAATCAAACTTTAAAAGTGAGGCGAAAGATACCAAAGAGATATTCAAACTCATCAGTTGAAAACACTTGAAACTGACAATGTCATTTCAAAAGACGAAAAACGACGAAAAGACAAACAACAGTACATACTGAAAGGCAACATAGAAAACTAAAGACTAGGCAATACGAACCATGCCTAAAACCGGGTGAACTGAGATGCTCTAAAAGGGTAAGTATATCCTGTTCCACATGTGGCACCCGTCATGTTGCTCATGTAAGTAAAAACTCGGTTATAAGTCAAATTCGGTACGTCAAACACGAGGAAAAATGGATGGAATTGTGGTTACAACAATGAACATGTCCGTCGCCATCTGTGAAACAGTCAACCAAATCGTGATAGCGATCTTAAAATTTTCGAAGGGATGCTTTCAACTTCACCACTTCGAACTTTTGGTTTTATATCTTCCTTGTAAGTATAGCAACCTCATTCAAGGAAATTATGATGAGTAATGCAAGTTCTGAAATATCGCATCAACTGGGAGATATATACTCCATATACAGGTTCTACTGGAATGTTGCTACATAGAAATGGAAAGTTCACAACTGGGAAGCTGGAATCATCTAGCTCTTATGTAGTTAAGTTTTGTACTCAACCGACCAAGTATGTTGCTATTGATGAATTTTGAATGACAGAAATGGTATCTTTTTCATGATAACGCGTGAGCTTCCAGGGGTTTCGCCCCCTACCCGGAGGTCCTCTGCCCTGGGGGCGCTGCGGGCCTTCAGACCCCTCGCCGCGGTTCGGGCGTACACTTATAAAAGGCCTTGCTACGCCACTGAGACCGATGACTACAGTGCTGAGTTCGATTCTGAGTCTGGGCGCTGGAATCTTCAGAACGTCAGAAATGTGATTTTCACCCACCCATACATAGCTCTGGTACCCAGACCGGAGTTTAAACTAGACTGGGTACTTTGGGGGCCTCGGTACGTCAAAGTTGCACCCTACTTTGAACTGGAGATGAATCTTCTGATATCTCTTCGGTTTGTCTGTTCCCGCCGAGCAGCCCGGTGGTTCTCTCCGAGTACTTCGGCTTCCTCCACCATAACAACAGACTGTCCGGTGTCCTAGCACCCCCTTTGTGTTGGGAGGGGATTGCCCTTGTAAATATTGTTGTAAATACGTGAGTGGCACATCTCCATTAATCCCGATTGGGAGTGTACACGGATTCCACTGTACCCTCGCAACTCTCGCGGGGTGCTCCGAATAAAGGAGGGATTTAATTACGTACACACAGGTAACATAAACATACAAAATGGCTGACAGTTCAAAGTATGCATAATTTATAGAGGTCAAACCTAATAGCATTTACAAACGTGAAAATTTAAAAGATTGCCATATCATATCAGGCCCTCTAAATTTTCTACGGATTAAACGTGGAAACTGCTGTCTCGTGTAGATTTGTTTTGATTTTTTCTTCCGCGCACGGCAGATCCGCGAAGTACTGTTTGTGATACCCATTTTCAAAATGAAGTTGAATTCATTTGAATTGCCAGTGAACATTTAGTCCATTTTTATTTAAGCTGTAAGCTTATCAAAAAGGTAGTTACTCAAAATGTCAAAGGCATCTTTGCTAGAATTAGTATTTAAATACTAGTACTGCATTATCTAGGAGTAGAACATACATCCTATAGTAAGTTAGTCTGCAGGCTACTTCCGGTTTGAGGCCGATGTCTTAGGAAAGTATAGTGCCTATAGCAAACTTTCCAAAAACGAAAGACAAGAATACAAAAATTTACCATAGTACAATAACACAATGACGGGATGTATAAGTACCGAACCACGTCAAATTGATTCTACCAAAAAATAGACTAAACAGTAAAAGTAATAATTTACAAAGACAAATAAAAGAACACGTTATTAAGATGATAAACAACGTCAGTACCTAGAATCTATACTTCATCGTGTATTATTTGTGAAGTTGATAGGGAATATTTATCAACAAGGTCTTGGTATCTTCCGATGAACTTTTTTAGAAAAAGGACGAAATGTTCTTTGACATAACCCTGGATCATCTACTTTCTGCTCAGATCCTGGTGACGTTTTACAAAGTCTGAGTAGCAGCTGCAAGCTCTTAAATACCAAATGAGTTGGGAAATGTATATCCCATATGCAGGTGAAGTTGATATATTGCTACTAAGGTGGGGGGAATTAATAATTTCAAAATTAAAATCGTCTCGTTTGTCATTGATTCTGGTACTGAGATGGTATCAGGTCGTTGCGGCCCCAAACTGATCCGGCCCCAAGTCGATTCGGTCCAAAGTCGATCCGTCCCAAGTCGATCCGTCCCACGTTGATCCGGCCCCATAATAAAATAATGAATAATCTATATTAACTTCGGAGGATTTGGTGACATATTTGAATCAGGATAAATGGAATTTGTAAAACATATCGATGCTTTATGACAGTTCAGGTAAGTGAAGTACTGTTTGTAAAGCAGCATCAGTATATAGATATGAAGTTATTTTCCATTATAACTTAGAATGTAATGGGGAAAAAAGTTTTTATTTAATTCACACATAGAAGAGATAAATAGATATTTATAATCCAATGGAACACACAATTATGTAATCATCATAATAACTTGTTTAAATCAAATCATTAGTATATATTTGGTTGGTTTATTCAACAAATGTCTAATGACTGTGAACCAAATTAAAAAAAACGCCAGTCGTAATCACTTAATTCAATCAAAATCATGATTGATAAAATTTACTTAAGGCTAGCAACAAGGTCTTTTATTTCAAGTTCTAATAATTCATTGTTATGTTTTTTCCCCAGGTAATATGAAGAAAAATGTGCTTTTATTTCTTTTCGCCACTGTCTTCTCTGTGTTCTAACTTTTTTGTACCATCGAATTATGATATTAAAAGAACAACCCATTCTGTCGCCTCTTTTATAGCAAGGATTCGGCAAATGAAACAACATTTCTCAATTTGAGAAGTTTTTAAAACTTTAAACAAAAACAAAGTTTGTATACATCAGCTTGCGGATAGTCTTGTACAGTTTTGTATGTAACGATTTGTTATTACATCAGTTGAAAGATTTGTTAAAATCAAAGTCAATTGAAAAAATGCGAATTACTGCTGATTAATGTTGAAGGTACTAAATTCTGTTATATATGTTTTATTATGATTATATACATACCCAATAGTCTTGAAAACTTCTAATAAAAGCATAATTAACATAATTGTTTTATACTGCATAATTCGTATTCATTAAAGATGATAAATTGATTTGAATTCAAATAGTTTATATAAAAATAATATTACATTTCTATATGAAATCTTAATATAAATTTTAAAAAAATATTCAAATAAATGTCTCATCTTATGAAAATTTGATATTCAAATATTCGTCAAAAGCCAACTTTTTTAAAATTACGGTCCACCTTTTATATTAGTATAAAATTCATAAACATTTATGAATGACACTGAATTCATATGTATCTTTATTTTTATTTCTTATAAATATTTTTATATTGGGGACGGATCGACTTTAAATATGGGGCCGGATCGACTTGGGCCGGATCGACTTGGGACGGAACGACTTGGGACGAATCGACTTGTGGCCGGATCGACATGAAAGCGCTGAGATGACCGTTTATGTCAAATTCGAGGTATAAGTCTAAAAATGAGGCAGAGGAAGCCGTGTCTGTTGTTTCTTTAATTTCTAGTTCTGGAGGATATATTTATGGAACCCAATCAGAAAAGTTTGGATTGTTAATGGAAAGAACATCATCAATATATCTGAATGTGAAATTAAATGATATGGCTTCTTTGCTCTTCTTGTTTTTGACAAGCGTCTGAAGGAACTCCAACTCATATGAAAATAAGATGAGGTCCTTAAGGAGAGGCGCACAGTCGGTGATCATAGGAATTCCGACAATTTGTTGAAAAAGTCTACCTCCAAATTCAACAAATACGTTGTCAATAAGAAACTCCAGCATACTGATCACTTGTTACTCCGTGTAGCATGTTTTACCTTTTTGTTCACTATTAACAAAATATGCCGTATGGTGTCCAAAAGTAAGAGCGAATGCTACCATTTTTATGTTGAAAAGCATTGTGGATTAATTCTTTTAGACGATTTTTCAATTTCACATGGGGAATGGTGGTATACAGGGTTGAAAAATCAAAAGTTTTGATAAAACTAATTTCAGAGAAAGATCGATAGTTTAAATTATCCAGAAGTTCTTTCAAGTTTTTGAGAATCCACATATGGTTAATACCACTACGTGAGTAAACAGTTTCACAGTATTTCTAAAGACCCTCTTTCACTGCGGACAGAATTTTTGTCAATCTAATGGACAATTCTTTCATCCAACATGCAGATTAGCCGGCAATGTACCGTTATTTGTAGAGAATTTTGTGAAGCTTAGATATCCAATAAAAACAAGGCAAGTCCTCCGATTTGATGTTCAATGTAATGTTCATTGAACCCATGAAGGACTTATGATTCACCAAAATCTCATCCTTGTCAAATGATATGTTTTTGTATGTGGGATTAGCTGACTGCTCATTTATTCCTAATTCTTTTACAAGACACTCGTAGTAGTACGATTTACATACAAAGACAATATTATTTGAAGCTTTGTCCGCAGTAACAACAACATACTTATCGTGAAGAGATGATAGACATTTCATAGCTTCTTTGTCTCTGAAAACGGACTTTGGTCGATCATTCACACAGTTTTTCAACTTATGAATTCGACATTTTATCAGAGACCTGATTGTTTTGACCCATTCTGACAAAGTGTCCAGTTCAACTTCTTCTCGTTTAGCCCATGCTACGGCGTAGTCCTCAATGGAATCCATAAATATTTTGAAGTAAATTATAATTAAAACTATATTAAAGTCAAGATACTATTTTCAATAACAGTGGTAGACTTTTTATTTTAACAAGAGCTTTATTACATACAAGCTTTAACTGATTAATCAAAATAATCATATATTACAAATTTTAAATTTGAAGATAACATAATCGGGTTATTGTAACAACACATCACACAAATTCTTTTTACAAATACCCACTTACTCTTATAAAATAAACAAAAATAGCTTTGTTTTAGTACAGATGGAATAAAGCAAATATAACTATTAATTGTACACATCAATAATAAATTCAACAACACATAAATAATTTAGAATTTAAAATATATTTCCTCTTAAATAAAAAAACAATGAAGGAAGACAAAACTCACAAAAATCATCATCCCTTAACACTTCCCATTTCATCAATCTTTATCCATTAACCATATCAACTGTAATCTCTGTTGGGAACCTTAAGGGCATACGATACAGTTTTGATCCCACAGTGATTTTTGATAAAAATTTGCATACAAGCTATTTTTCCCCTAGTGAATTCAAAGATGTTATTAAAAAAACATACCTTCATGTGCTACTTTTAGAGATAAATAAGGGTCGAAATTATAGACAATTACTTAAAGTTTCAGTTTCTTAGACATTTCTATCCTTAGGAAAGACATACCGAACCTTTTTGTTTCAAAAGAAAAACACAAACAGATTTTTGAAAAAAACCATTTGGAATATCTTCTTTAAATAATTATACTCTAAATTTGTGTAGCAATTCTTTGGAAATGATTCATTTTTTATTAAATGTTCATGATTTTAGAAAAAATGGCATCTTTTGCTGCATATGCATCTAATTTTTTTAAAATTCATAAGTGATTTGTTCATAAAAATTGGTACAAATAATCTTCATACATAACCAAGCCAAATGTCATTTTAAAAGAGAGGGATCCATGAGCTCCCATTCAAACTATTGATTCAAATCAGTCGAAAAAAGCATCTTTTCCCAATATTTCACAGCTTGAGGTCGTGAAAAGTAACATTTACATTAGCATAATCATTACCTCCCTTGGAACTGTATCGAATGCCCTTGAACAGTCGATATATACACCTGTGAAATATCATAAATGAATGCTAGGTGCTACCCTGCCAGATGTCATGTGCTTTTCCCAAGTCAGGACAATTGTAAGTGGTTGTCTCATGTCATATTCAAATTTTTCTTTTGTTATTTGAGGAATTTGATGGCACATCTTTGATTACTTCTGTTTAAATTTTCACAACTTTTATCAAATAGGTGTAATTGAGAGCTTGATTTATTGCATTTATTCATGCTGGGGTGAATTTTACCAAACTTTTGAAAAACATAATTTTCATAGCGATTGCCGAACTTGATCAACATGTAAGAATAGTGTGTCTATGAGATCCACATTTTAAACATAAATAAGAGCCAAAAATGCCCCAAAAATATATCAAGAAATACTTAGTAGTTAACATATGAAAGATATTTTGACAACACCTACTAAAGCAAATATTTTCATAAATACAACAGTGAAATCTATTTTCATTTACTTCTTTATAAATTAGTTAATATACTTGAACATAAATCATTGCTTTAATTGTTTAAATAAATTACTACCTAAAATTTACTGAAATTGAGATATTTAGAAATGTGATGCAGTAGATTTCAAATCCTGAGGTGCAATATATGAATTCTTAGTTGAAATGTTTTAAATCATTATCATTATTGGAACTGAAATTGTATTTCAGAATACTAGTGTTCAAAAAAAAATACTGCTATTCAGACTTCATTCATTAAACTAAAAAGGCAATGTGAAATAATATCTCATTGTTTACCTTAAAAGGTTAATTTCTATAATACATCTAGTGAGGTGAGATAATATCACTAAAACTAAGGTATAGAAAATCTTTATAAATCATTTTACATGAAGCACAGCAATGAATGGGAAAATGAAAATACTATTGGTCTCTTGCGGAGAGTTGTCTCATTGCATTGGCAATCATACCATATCTTTTTATTTTTATATATAAAGCAGGAATTATAGAATTTCAAGGGGAATTCATTCATAACAATGTGTACAAAGAATGAAGATTTAAGATACTTACATATATACTGAAATATTCGTCTTTATGCCTTTTGTCCTGAATAAAAACATTGTATTGACCTCTGAATTTACCAAAATTTCTTTCAGGGGTAGAAAGTATAGAAACATACAATTGATATTAAATCTTTTACAGTTGAAAAATTCTCTGTATAATTTTTCTATTGCTGCCTTAAACCCTTTTTTTTCAATATACTAATATTAATTATCCAAAAATATCCCTATGAAACAAATTTCATCAATTACTTTTCCCTAATTCTTACATTTTGACATTTGCTGGTGTTGTGTTTGTGTTTTTCAGCTCCTCTACTTTTTTCTAATTCAATAGCATTTGAAAATTTTGTCCTATAGCCCTATCTCCTTATAACAGTATCAATCTTAGACATGTTTAACTATATCACTGCAATACAGTTATCATAATTAGGCAGGAAATGTACGAAAAAACATATAGGGACATTCCATTTTTAAAATTTCTCATTTCCATTTTGACATTTCTTACTTCAAACTTGAATCTTACTTCCAACATGACATTTCTTACTTCAAACTTGAATCTTACTTTCAACATGACATTTCTTACTTCAAACTTGAATCTTACTTTCAACATGACATTTCTTACAATCTTACTTCCAACATGACATTTCTTACTTCAAACTTGAATCTTACTTCCAACATGACATTTCTTACTTCAAACTTGAATCTTACTTTCAACATGACATTTCTTACAATCTTACTTCCAAGTTCCAACATGACATTTCTTACTTCAAACTTGAATCTTACTTCCAACATGACATTTCTTACTTCCAATTTACATTTCTCACTCCTAAGTTGACATGACATTTCTTCCTTCCAATTGGATTTTTCTCACTTCAAACTTAACATTTCTCCCTTCCAACTTGACATTTCTTCCTTCCGATTGGATTTTTCTTACTTTCAACTTGACATTTGATTTCTCCCTGCCAACTTGACATTTCTCCCTTCCAACCTGACATTTCTCCCTTCGAACTTGACATTTCTCCCTTCAAACCAGACATTTCTCATTTACTTGATATTTACATAAAGATAAACGGGTAACAGTATAATTTAAATTGCTAAGTTACATATCAATGCCCTCAATGTTAGAAACACTAGAAAAATTGATACTGTATAAGTGTGGATATCAGTGTTCACATTTAACATCTCATTACTTCAAATCACTGAAACATCATCAGGAATAATATATAAAACAACCTATCAATTCAGAGAGGATCTGGCTATTGAGGTTAAAGGTTTATAGCAAACTATATTAAAATGGTTCCAAAGTTCTGTGTAAAAAGGCATCATTACTATTACTCTGAACTTGCTTTTAGTGACTTCAAATAAGAAGATGTGGTATGAGGGCCAATGAGCAACTCTCCATCCAAGTCCCAATCTTTAAAAAGTTAAAACTATAGGTCAGAGCAGGGCTTCCAAAACGGTCATATATTCCGGACTTGACCGAAACTTTCATAAAAAGTCCAGCTGCTCTCAGCCTCAAACGATCAAATAGAATTGGTTTGCCACTTTTTGTTATTTAAGGCATTTTCATAAAACGGTCATTTCAATTTTTACCAACTATCGATCGATAAAAATGTCCGTTTGGGGCTTTGGGCATGTCCGTTTGAGCATTTTAGTTTATAATTGTGGCAATCTATTTCACAAAGATATTTCGGTCATAATTGGGTTTAATAAAACAGATGCAGCATATTTCAGATACTTTGAAGTGTCTCAGTTAGTCTAATCCTCTGGGTACATAAATGTACCGCTTGGTCTTTAGCTTGTGTACATCAATAAAAAGTAGATAAAAAACGTTTTCTTTTATTTAAATAACAACAAGCTGTCAAACAATTAACCCTTCAATAAGTTATATTGAAGCCATAAATCATTCACTGATTACAGGTTTGTAACCTTTGATGAGGTGTCCGTAGCTTGTCTTTATCAATTGAATTAATGATGCATAACACTGTACATAAAGGTGATCAGGTAAACAAGGTCAAACATGTAAGCGTGTATGGAACAACATCCTATTTAATTACGCTTTATAGATATTATTTTAAATGAGCATTCAGTTTAAAAAAGTATCCTGATATTTAAAAGTTATTCTTCAAATAAGGATATTTATAAATGAATAAGTATGATATATATTATTTTATTTAACACTGTACATCGTGTTAAATACTGGGGTACTCTAAAGGGGAAAATTTATTGAAATATATAGGAAAAACACCGAGAATAGCTGAGTTGTCCAATAAATAAGGGGGGCGTTCTCTATTCTTGTTTTCATATTAAAAACTGTTTTTATAATTGAAATCATAAAGAAGAATATCCAATCATGACAATCTCCGACTGTTATAAAGACTTTGTCTCAAATTGAACTTTACAAATCTGCCATCATGGGCAAACGTAAACGTGACGATTCCGATCAAAATTCCAAATCTGCTAAAAATGCTAGAAGCTTTATTCATAAATGGTTACAACTGTTTTTATGGTTAAGATTTGACAGTATGCTAAATGCCATGTTTTGTGACATTTGTCAAAAACATAAACTTAAAAATAACTTTTCGAAAGTCAGCCGTTGTAGAGCATGCTAATAGCAATGACCAAATCAGTATTTGAGAAAGTTCATGAAAAGACTGACAACGCAATGTGTGCACCTTGTTCCGTAATGCTTACTTAATTGCTAAAGAAAACTTACCAATGGACAAATTTCAGTCAATAAATGATTTAACTAAGTTAAATGGTGCCGTGATCACTTCTAAATTACATCAAGAGAACAATGCCAGCTCCGAATTTATTCAGACAATTTCCGATATTATAGAGAAAGAGGTGATGTCCGACGTAAAGTTAAGTCCCGCCGTGGGAATTATGATCGAAGAGTCAACTGATCTGGCTACGCAAAAACATTTAATTTTGTACTTATTATACCTCAAAGCTGGTGAACTGAAAATTAGTTTAAATTATTTATCAACTGAGTATGTTTTTATTTATTCTTCTTATTTTCTAAATCAGGTTGGGAAATTGTACAAAGAAAAATGTTCTTACTGTTCAGTAGATATTACACAGTTTAAAACAATATCCTTCATTGGGCCTCCTCAATGTTATCTATAAATACCGCATCAGTTGTAAAAGTCACGTGGTCAGGTAATCAATACACAAAAAGAAAAGTATCACGTGTATTGATGATCAGGTTGTACTGCAATTAAAGCCAACATCAACAGTTTCAAATATGATACCCTTAATTTCGAAGTGTTAAGTACTCACAGAGAGAAGATAGATTATATAAACTGATTGATGCAATGATGGTTACTGTATTACGATACACAGAAAAATGACACAATACCGAGGATAATATTTTATTTATTTTTAGAATGAAGAAAACAAAACAGTTATAAATAATTTTATTGCATATAACACTACTAATTATTTAGACACATATATCAATTTATGCATCCTCTCAGTTACATTTAAGTATCCAGCTGATCATTGACCGTCAAAATATTTCTTTGAAAAATGTCCGGCTGTCGTCAGGAAATTTTGGAAGCCCTGGGTCAGAGTACGGCCTTCAACACAGAGCCTTGGCTCACACCGAACTGCAAGCTACAAAGGGCCCCAACATGACTAGTGTAAAACAACTCAAACAGGAAAACCAACAGTCTAATCTGTATAATAATTGAGACAAGAGAAACACTTATGAACCACACCAGCAAACGACAACCACTAAACAACAGGCTCCTGTTTTATGTACATTCTTTGGTAGAATTCAATTTTGTATTGTTTTACCGGTACATGTAATTTTTTGTTTGTTTAAAATGTGTAAAGTAAAAAAATGCAGCTGTCACCTATGACATGTATGACTTGAGAATAATCATTCAACTTTTCCTAGAAAAAGACAATACCTTCAAAAATACAAATCATACATCCAATTCTTATAGAAATCATATTTAGAAAAATGAAAATGATCTAAAAATTTAATTTGCAAACTCAAAATATTGTTAATTCTTCAATGACTAATTTTTCAAAATAACTAATTACATTTGGACTGATGTATCCCTTAATAAATTATCTCCCTTGGGTCTCTTCTAGTTCCTATTTATATCAACTGATGCCATAAAATTATCTCCCTTGGGTCTCTTCCTGTTCCTATTTATATCCACTGATCCCAGTCATCATCATCATCATCTCCCATGTCAACACCCTCAAACAATCTGTTAAAACATTTACTGCCCATCTCACTGAAGTGTGAATACGGGTTAGCTTTCGCCAGGAAGGCATTACAAATCCAACAGAAATGGGCTCTACATTTCATACAGGTCATCTTGTTACAACCATCTATTTTCTGAGGAAAGAAAAGTTATATTCATTTATCTCATTTATTATTGTACAAGGGTCAGTTGTTCAAATTGTCATTCGCACCAACACTTTTTTAAATTTGACCAATCATGTGATTAATTGTTATCATTTTATAAGTGTGCTGGTCAGTTTGTTATTGAAATGAATCAATGGATTACAATGTAATTGCACTAGAACATCTCTTATACCTGTGTCTTAAAAACAAGAAACAATTGCTCTATGTTTTTTTTCTTTCTTGTTTTTGTTTGCCTTAACAACTGAGTCACACAATTATTTTTAAGTATAGTAAGACAACCGCAAGTGCATATCTCAGCAAAGTTTGACATGGTCCTCCTCATAAGTCCTATTGTGAACATCATTTGCAGAAGCTATTGAGCTATTTGTTAAAATATTACCTGTATTTGTGCTCCACAGTTGGGACATTTTTTGGCAAAGCTGTTTAACCACTCATTACTACAAGATTCCTCTACAGCCTGTTGAATGGCAGCTTTACCATATTTCTTCTCTAGTAGTTTTCTTGTGGCCTCATCTCCATTTAACCATTCATCTTTCAATTTCCTTAATCCATCTGCAATTTTTTTTCCAGAAAATGAATATAAAGCTAATTTAAAGCTAAGTGAAACAAGCCAGTTTACAAAATAAACACACTTCAAGTTTTTAACTACCAAAAAAAAATGTAAAATGTTGAGAAAGGAATGAATGCAGACAGCAAATAACACATTTTAAATTTTAAATTTCAATTTAATTTCTTTTTTCTGCACTACAATTAACATAATGTCAGGACATTAATCCTTTTATGTATTGTTTTCCAGTATTATAGATTACTGTCTCAGACACACACAATTTATTCTTTTTTCCAATCTAGCCATCACAACACACTCTATGTAACCATTGGTTTAGACAAGTTTTGACTTAAATATTTGATGAACAGAAATTCCAAAAATAAATTGATTCTTTATGGTGATAATCTAAGACAATCATTTAAAATTAATATGCTGAGACAGGACATAAGAAAAAACAGACAATTAATTATCTAATGACCATGATACATACCTGCTTTTATCCTACATGGTGACAATCCATGATAACTAAGTTTACAAAGGGTACAAAATACAAAACAACAGCTAGCACAGGAAGCCATGGACATCTCCTTGTCCATGATAACAGGCTGTTGACAGGATGGCCGAGGACAGTAGGCTATGTCCAGCATAGTATCTAAACCAGTCTGTAGAAGGAGTTTATCATACTTCGTATATAATTCTGGTGGAACAAGTTCCTTAACCTGAAATTAGAAATTTTTGTTAGTAGTATTAACAGGACAGATTCCTCAGGAGGACTTGAGACTAACTCTCATTATTGTCTTCTTTTTCTTCAGATATACGGTCACGTGAGTATCAGCTTCATATGATTGAAGATTATGAACTGTTGTATGTGGGGAGTATGTGATTAAAAATATTCCAATAATAGTTACACAACAAAATATTTTTTTGAATTTGAAGATTACTTGATATAGTAATATTTTCCGGGAAAAAGACAACAAATGATTCAAAATATGAACATTGATATTTATTAAGTTACTTTGTGTTGTGGAGAACAGTTGGTGTCAACTGTTCTATAAAGGTTTCAATTGTTTGACATGCTACTACTATTTGTAGTAACAAGTTCCATTATATTATTGATTGTGGAAAAAATGACCATTTGTGAGGTGGATATTTGCCTAAATGATTAGTTATGTTCCTGTTGGTATATGACTAGCTACTAGTTTAATGAACTGAAAGGATATTTGATAGGATGGAGAAAAACTTCAAGGGGTTGAATTTATTTAAGTTATGTGTTTTACATTTGATTGTAAATGTTGGGAAAGTTATTTGTGTAATTGGGTTGCTGTCTCATTTACATATATACTCCACGTCTATTTTTATTCATATAATACACTGTAACCTCCAATGGCCATGTTTACATTTGAAAGTTGACAGATTGCACATTGGAATGTCAAGGGTAATTAATAATTGAATAACTGGATATTGCTTATCGCATTTACATTCTATGTATCAACATCTAAAAATATAATAAAATGCTCCGCAGGGCGCAGCTTGATACGACCGCAGAGGTCGAACCCTGAACAGTTGGGGGAAGTATGGACACAACATTCAAGCTTGATACAGCTCTGAATTTGGATTGTGATTAAATATTTGACACAGCATAGGTTTCTAACACAGATTGAATGTGGTCTAAGAACTTAAAAATTTTAAATTGGACATTCACCTATTATGGTCCAATATCCAAAATCTAAATACATGGTTAGATTCAGCATATCAAAGAACCCCAAGAATTCAATTTTTGATGAAATCAAACAAAGTTTAATTTTGGACCCTTTTGACCTCAATGTGGACAAAGTTGATAACGGGGCCCAAAAATCAAAAATCAAAATACATGGTTAGATTCAGCATATCAAAGAACCCCATATATTCAATTTTTGTTGAAATCAAACAAAGTTTAATTTTGGACCCCGATTTGGACCAACTTGAAAACTGGGCCCATAATCAAAAATCTAAATACATGTTTAGATTCAGCATATCAAAGAACCCTAAGAATTCAATTTTTGTTAAAATCAAACTAAGTTTAATTTTGGACCCTTTGGACCTTAATGTAGACCAATTTGAAAACGGAACCAAAAATTAAGAATCTAAATACACGGTTAGATTCGGCATATCAAAGAACCCCAATAATTCAATTTTTGATGAAATCAAACAAAGTTTAATTTTGGACCCTTTTGACCTCAATGTGGACAAAGTTGATAACGGGGCCCAAAAATCAAAAATCTAAATACATGGTTAGATTCAGCATATCAAAGAACCCCATATATTCAATTTTTGTTGAAATCAAACAAAGTTTAATTTTGGACCCCGATTTGGACCAACTTGAAAACTGGGCCCATAATCAAAAATCTAAATACATGTTTAGATTCAGCATATCAAAGAACCCTAAGAATTCAATTTTTGTTAAAATCAAACTAAGTTTAATTTTGGACCCTTTGGACCTTAATGTAGACCAATTTGAAAACGGAACCAAAATTTAAGAATCTAAATACACAGTTAGATTCGGCATATCAAAGAACCCCAATAATTCAATTTTTGATGAAATCAAACAAAGTTTAATTTTGGACCCTTTGGACCTCAATGTGGACCAACTTAAAAACGGGGCCCAAAATCCAAAAACTAAATACACGGTTAGATTCAGCATATTAAAGAACCCCATGAAATCAAAAATAAAACCCCATTGAAATTGGTCAAGAAATAAGCAATTTATAGGAAGTATCTTCTTTTGCACAATCCTGTGCTATTAAATATTTCTTGCTATTGCGCAATACTGTACAATTGACAATTTCTTGCTATTGCGCAATATTGTGCTATTGGATATTTCTTGCTATTGCGCAATACTGTGCAATTGAAGATTTCTTGCTATTGCGCAATACTGTGCAATTGAAGATTTCTTGCTATTGTGCAATACTGTGCAATTGAAAATTTCTTGCTATTGCACAATACTTATTATATAATAATTTACACATCCTGTTTGGTGTGTATCTCCTACCATATCATTATTATTTGATTTTAAATATAAATCAGAAATAACCAACTTAAAATGGAAAATTTTAAAAGAAACAAAAAAGAAAAAAAAGAAAAAAAAGGAAAAAAAAATAAATCCCCCCCCAAAATTTTTTGAACCCCCATTATGATTCATCACCCCCAAACTCAATCCCAGCCTTCCCTTTGTGGTATGGTACCTTGCAGTACAATTTCAGAGAGATCAATACACTTGAACACAAGTTATTGTCTGGAAACTAGAAAAAAATGTGTTTTTTGGCCCCTTTTTGGCCCCAAATTCCTAAACGTTTAGGGCAATTACCCCCAAACTCAAACCCAGCTTTCCCTTTGTGATATGGAACCTTGTAGTACAATTTCAGAAAGATCCATACACTTACACACAAGTTATTGTCATGAAACTAGAAAAATGCTTGTTTTTTGCCCCTTTTTTGGCCCCTAATTCCTAAAATTTTGAGGCAATTACCCCCAAAATCAATCCCAGCATTCCTTTAGTGATATGGAACCTTGTGGTACAATGTCAGAGAGATCCATACACTAACACACAAGTTATGTCTGGAAGTTACAAAAATGCTTATTTTTGGCCCCTAATTCCTTTACTGTTATTACCATAACCCCCAAAATCAATCCCAACCTTCCTTTTGTGGTATTGAACCTTGTGGTAAAATTTCATAAAGATCCATTCACTTAAACTAAAGTTAAGAGTGCGAAAACCAATGTGTCTTCGGACGACGCCGGACGACGACGACGCCGGACGACGACGCCAACGTCATACCAATATACGACCACAAAAATTTTTTTGCGGTCGTATAAAAAATAACTGGAAACATCCAACAAGACAATGGAGGTTTAGCTGACAAAGTCTACTAGAATAAACAAATGTTGTTTCTTTTCTAATTAATAGAATATCATCTGGTTTGTACTAACATAAACAAAACATACGACGAGTGCCATATGTAGAGCAGAATCTGCTTACCCTTTTAAGAACCTGAGATCACCCCCAGTTTCTGGTGGGGTTCGTGTTGCTCAGTCTTTAGTTTTTTATGTTGTGTTTTGTGTACTGTTGTGTGTCTGTTTGTCTTTATCTTTTTAGCCATGGCATTGTCAGTTTATTTTTTACTTTTGAGTTGAATGTCCCTTGGTATCTTTCGCTTCTCTTTTACATTCAGGAAGCTTTGAAACATTAAATCATATTTTACCTGAGATTGGTGAGCTTGTGATTCACATTTGTCCTCAGGACAGTACAAACCATTCACATTTCCTTCACCAATCTGAACTGTGAAGTATTCCTTCATACATTCCTTACAGTAAACATGACCACATTCATAGAAGTTAATACACTGTGACCCTGTTCTATCACAAAAACAAACTTTACACTCAAACAATGATCTGTCAAATTCAATCTGTTTAGCTTGCTTGTCATAGTCAATAAGTGTTGCAAGCAGTCTATTTTGAGAGGCAATGTCCTGGATAGCTCTTGGATCATACTTCTCTGTTGATTGTTTCCTTTCTATGGATTGGGGCATAGTTAAGTCTAATGTATCAGATAAGCCAAGAAATTCATAAGATTCATCCTGAAGAAAACTTGTCCATAAAAACACAACAACACATGGTTTATTTTCTTCCCAAATTTCATCTAATCTTAGACATAAATTAGTAAGCTGAAAGAAATTTTAAACATCTGTAAATCGTTTCATTATAAGTATGTAAAGTTATCAAGATGTAGTTTAACAAATTTTAAATGTATACATCATTTCATGAAAAATTCCCATTACATATATTTCATCTTACACTGGAGGATGATTCCTAAACTGTTATGATGTATAATTTTCTTTACATCAAATAATATTTCTTTTATCTATATTTCTGACATGTTACAATATCCTTCTAGAGTCAAAACAATTGCGGATCCAGGGGGTGGGGGTGTGGACCCCCCTTTTTTTATACGATCAATGCATTTGAATGGATACATATGGTTGGAACCCCCCCCCCCCCCCCCCAAACCCTTTTCCTGCAATTAATCTATATATAATATCATAAGTTTTGACCAATTAATGATACTCTTATTTCTGGTGTAAAAATTGTTTTAGTAATGAAAATATTATATTCCTTTAAATCTATAAATACCTGTTTCCTATTCAACCATTTACACGACAAAGTAAACTGTGGAGGGTTTACTGAAGGGTAATCTTTTGGCAATTGGAAGTTTAGAGAAATAGGTGGCAGGTTCTTCACTACATGCTCTTCTATCTTGTTGTCTGAAAATATAATATACATGTACATGTTAACGACCCATTACATACAATAGGAAAGTGTTTTAGTGACTGGAATATAGAAATAAGGAGATGTGGTATGATTGCAAATGAGACAACTTTCCACCGTAGTTCAAATGAAGTGGATGTAAGCAATTTTAGGCAACCGTACAGCCTTCAACAATGAGAAAAACCCATACCGAATGGTCGGCTATAAAAAGCTCCAACATCAAAAGGAAGTTTAGAAAAATTGGAGGCAGCTGCTTCAATACATGAACTTCTGTCTTGTTATCTGGAAATATGATATATATGTACATGTTGAGGGCATACTATACAGTTACAGAGGAGGTAATTATGTTGCTAACGTAAAAAATGTTAAATTCGCAACGTCAAACTGTAATATATCGGGAAAAGATGCATTTTACAACTGTTTTTTTATGATTTAAACTGATTTAACTTGAAAACTAGTACATGGACCCCTGTTTTTTAAAATGCCATAAGGTTTGATTACATATGAAGATTATTTGTATCAATTTTAATGAAAAAGTCAACAATGAATTTTTTTAAATTAGATAAATATACCCCAAAAAATGCCGTTATTTTCCTAAAATCCTGAAACTTTGTTAAAAATTAATTATTTCCAAACAATTGTTGTACATATTAAGAGCAAATTTATGTAAAGAAGATTTTCATAATGTTTTTACAAAAATCCGCTTGTGTATATCTGTTGAAATAAAAAAGTTAGGTGTGTCTATCTAATAGATAGAAATGTCTAAAAAAAACTTAAAATTTTGACTAAATGTCTAAAATTTTGACCCCTTTTATCTCTTAAAGTAGCAGATGAAAGTATATTTTTTATTACATATTTGAAATGCTTAGATGAAAAATAGCTTGTATGCAAATTTTCATAAAAAAATCATCATTGGATCGAAACTGTATCGTATGCCCTAAAGGACCCATTACATACAATAGGGAAGTGATTTAGTGACTGGAAGTTTAGAGAAATAGATGGCAGGTGCTTCACTACATGTTCTATCTTGTTATCTGAAAAAATAATGTATGTTATGTTAAGGACCCATTACATTTAAGGACGCTACCAATATAACTTGAATTCTTTAAAATTGTATATTTTGTGTAGCCTTTTCTTGACAGTGTTTTTGTGGAATCCCTAATTTTCTATATATCTTACCTTTAGATAGAGACTTTATACTAAAATTTTCCGGTATATGTGAACTGACTAGAAACTGTCCCCCAGGTTCTTCAGTATCATCTGACACTGACAGCACTGTTTCATCATAAATACTGGTCAGTGCTAAGAGTTCATCTTCTTGTTGTTCCGTGTCTGTCATTTCACTACATGTATATGTATGTATAAAAGTTTCCTCTGGTTTTGAATAATATTAACTGTTCTGCAAAAGATATATACATTTGCTAATTATTTGGCATGTAAATATTGAACTTTTTTTTTTAAATGGTGATTATGACACTGATTTTACATGTGAAAAAAAAATCATGACAGTTAATAATCATACCGGCATTGTATCAATACTCCTATTTGCCTAATGCAAGAATGGGAACAATAGCATTTAAAATAAATGTGGATAGTGTCCACATGTGGACACAGATGATGCCCCCGCTTGCATATCATATAGTTATAAAGGGACATAACTCAAGAATGGTAAAAGTGACGCTACCCAAATTTGAACTTGATCTGAGTTTTGTGGTAATAAGCAGTGTGTGTAAGTCTCATAACATTTGGTTGTGGCTAACTTAAGGAGAGGACAGAAACTAAAAATTCAGCAATTTTTCTATTTGTAAACACGCATAACTCTAGAACGGTTGTGTATAAGTTTTATAACATTTGGTTGAGACAAACTAAAGTTAGAGAAAGGAAACGAAATATTCAGCAATTTTTGTGTTTATAATGGGACATAACTCAAGAATGGTAAAAGTGTCGCCACCAAATTTCGTACTCAATCTGTAGTAATAAGCATTGTGTATAAGTTTCATAACATTTGGTTAAGGCAAACTAAAGTTAGAAAACAGAAACAAAAAAATTGTACTTGATCTTAGTTTTGTGGTAATGAATATTGTGTATAGGTTTCATATTGTTTGGTTGGGGCAAACTTAAGTAACCGAATGGAAACTAAAAATTTTGCAATCTTTCGATTTATAAAGGGGCATAACTCAATAATGGTTAAAGTGACACTACCCAAATTCAACTTGATCTGTGTTTTATCAGTGGAAGTCAAAATTAAACATTGCATTGTATAAAGCATTGATTGTAGTTGATTCAACTATAATCATGGACAAAGGAAGATAACTCCAATTTAAAAATTACTTAATATTTAGAAGAAAATAAAAATTTTGCGATTTTTCCATTTATATAAGGACGCTATTTTAAAAGGGGCATAACTCTAGAACCGTTAAAGTGACGCCATAAAAATTCAAACTTGATCTGTGTTTTATGGTAATAAGCATTGTGTATAAGTTTCATAACATTGGTTGAGGCAAACTAAAGTAAGAGAACGGAAACGATAAATTCAGCAATTTTTCCATTTGTAAAGGGGCATAACTCTAGAACGGTAAAAGTGACGCCACCAAAATTCAAACTCAATCTGTTTTTTGTGGTAATAACATTGTGTATAAGTTTCATAAAATTTGGTTGAGGCAAACTAAAGTTAGAGAACGGAAACCAATTTTGGGACGTACGTACGTATGTACAGACGGACAAGGGTAAAACTTAATGCCCCCTCCGCCACGGCGGGGGCATAATAAAAAGTGTGAGATCAATACACATCTTGAACCAAATTTTATTCAATGGCAAAAAACAAATTATATACTAAAAGTTGGCAGTTGATGATCTAAATGGTGTATAAACATGATAAAGTTTCTGCAAGTCATCGAAACAAAATATTATTTTCATGATATGTCTTCAACTTAGAATTCTTTTGAAAAATCTCTGAATCCTGAGTGATCACATAGATCCAGCATGGCTGAATAAAAAAAATATCAAAAATAAGGACATGAACATAATCTGTAGAACATGTAGAAACATGTGAAGTTGTCAATACTCTTTAATTATCAAATAAGAATGTCCAATAGTATTTCATCATTGTCAAAGGGAGTATTGGATAGAATTTTAAGTACATTATCTTCAAACTTAAACGATAGAACTTTGAGTAAACTTTGTAAAATAAAATAAGAAATACATTTGTAGAAAAACTTCTGAATAGGCATCTAAATGATAGCAGAAAGTCAACTTAAGTTATGGAGGGGCATGATTTGTTTTTCTAGAAACAAACTAGAGGCTCTCAAGAGCCTGTGTTGCTCACCTGACTCTATTTGGTTTTGGAAATCATGTAAAAATAGATAATAAATTGCTTCGCTGAGCGCAGCTGGATATGACCGCAGCTGGATACGACCGCAGAGGTCCAACCCTGAACAGTTGGGGCAAAAATGGACGCAATATTCGCGCTTGATACAGGTCTGAATTTGGATTGTAATTAAATATAAGACACATAAAAGGTTTCTGACACAGAATAACTGTAGTCAAAGAACTTAGAATTGGTTATATGATTTGAATTTATATTCAATTTTTTGCTTTTGTGCAATACACTTTGCTGTTGTGAATTGACCCCCCCCCCCCCCCCCCCTCCCCCCACAAAAAAAAAAAAATTACGCCCCCTTTTTTCGCTTTTGTGCAATACACTTTGCTGTTGCGAATTGACACCCCCTCCCCCCACAAAAAAAAATTAAAAATTTACCCCCCCTTTTTTTTGCTTTTGTACAATACACTATGCTGTTGCGTATTAAACCCCCTCCCCCACACACACACTTTTTTTTGCCAAAAACATAATATTTGAAGAATTTTTCTTTTTAATTTCTGAAATCTGAAATGAGAAAAAATTGTTGACCCCCCATTCATTTATATTTACCATAGTGCTAACTTAATCTATTTTATAATAGAATTTAAAATATGGTGTCAAATCTCTCATATATTTTTTTTTGTAAAAAAAAAAGATGCAACATTTGCAGATATTTTTACTGGTCTTCCTTTATAAATATGCATTTCCTTAAACATAATTTAAAAGCAGTGTAAGGGAGGTAATCAAAACATTGTATTTGGATTACCTCCCTTACACTGCTTTTAATTTGTCTTAATTGTTCATTAACCATTACTTTATACATAATTTAAAAGCAGTGTAAGGGAGGTTATTCAAATGATGTATTTGAATTACCTCCCTTACACTGCTTTAAATTATGTTTTGTACTTAAGTATTTGTCCATTAACCAGGACACCCTTGTTTTGCCCCTCAATCCTAAACGGTTTGAGCCATAACCCCCCAAATCAAATCCTAACCATCCCTTTGTGGTATGGAAACTTGTGGTATAATTTCAGAGAGATCCATACACCATTCCACAAGTTATTGTCTGGAAACTAGAAAGATGCTTATTTTTGGCACCTTTTTGGCCGCTAATTCCTTCACTGTTGGTACCATAACCCCCAAAAGCAATCCCAAATTTCCTTTTGTGGTATTGAACCTTATGGTAAAATTTCACTTAAATTAAAGTTATTGTGCGAAAAGTCGCCGAAAACCAATGTGTCTTTGGACGACGACGACGATGATAACGCTGCTGACGACATCGTCATACCAATATACGACCACAAAAATTTTTTGCGGTCGTATAAAAATCATAACAGATACCCAAATAATGATTTAGGCCAAATTTGGTTTAATATTGGCCCCGTTATTAATAAAAAATCCTAGTGGCCATCTTGAACAGTAAATCGGCAACAAAGTAGCAACACTTCATCAGCACCTCATAAGGAACATCTATGCCATGTTTGGTTTCAGTCCATTTAGCAGTCAAGGATATAACTCTATAGGGTTATTAGAGAAAAATAACATACATTTGTTATTGTGGACTAAAAAATCAAAGACCTGTGATAACATATGTATTTTAAATGTTTCAAAGGGACAATATACATCAGTAGTTTTGATAAAATGTATACAAGTTCTATTGATATTACTATTGTCTTAATGTATACTTAACTATAGAAAGATATAACAGTTCATATTTTGCCAACCATGAATAGTACACCTATGTTATTACAGAAAAAATATGCCTGTAATAACTAAAGGGTGTTATTACAGCTTCTCTACATCACTTCAAAGCATTTGCCCAGACATACATCATGCTTAATTACAAAAATGCAATGTATTTTAATTCGTTGTAAGAAATAATGATCAAAGCATGTAATGAGGTTCTGCGCAAGCTTCCCAGTAATTCCCCGAGGAGGGGCGACAGCCTTAGGTGCTGTGTGCAAATTTTTTAAGGTCATGTGGTACGATTTTAGCGTCCCTCGCAATTTGGAATCTGGAAAAGATGGATTTGTTCATGTTTTTATATCAAATATACTCTCTTGCACTCGCAGAAAATATAGAAGATCACTTTATATGAAATATTTTCTTTATGTTTTTTATCTTTAAAGTAAATTCTATCAATAAAGAAATGCACTGTAATGGCGGGAAATTTTATTTGATCTCTGCGAAATCACGAGGCACAGATTTTTGTAAATTTTACAAATGTCAGCACGTGAAAATCATTCAAATTTATGTCAATCAAAGAACACTATTCGAACATTCTAAATCTTCTTAAGTCTCCTTAAGTCTCCAGCCATTGCTTCGTAATAAGTCACTAAAATATGATTTCCAGTAAGTAAAATATCAAAAATATTTGTCATGTTTGTCAAATCCGCGAGTTATTATGTTATTTTAGCATATAAACTCTTATGTATTTTAATCATTTTGTCTTATGAATAACCATCATGAAAAAATATAGTTTTTTTCATAATTGAATCATGCATTATCTGTGTATTGGATTGCTTAATTGCCTTCTCTCTAATGTTATCTCTGTTTTGTTTACTGAAAAATGACGAAAAAATGCAATATTTAAAATTTCGTATTTTACAAAACTTTGTCCCGATTAAAAACTTAAAACCGACTGAATAAATTAAGAATTCAGTGATTATTGATGTCAAAATTAGCCCTTGGTAATAAACAGGAAGTTTGGGTATAAATATGTTTATTGCCAAGAAATAACTAACAAATTTGTTTACTATGTATGTACAAAGTATATGTATATTGCTTGATCAGCCCTTCTGTATATTACTTGGTTTTTTTTAATTGATTCAACAAATTTTGCTTGTCCAGGTGTCATTAATGGTGATGTCCACACCATGAGTAGTTTGGTATAAATGACACAATACTACTGCGACCGATCGATAATATAAGACAAATCTGCGTGCCCTGTGCAGAGTGTCGTCCCTCCTCTAAGCAATTCCCAAGTGTCTCATATATTAAGTTACATGCCTTTAATAACTAAGCCTTGTTATTACAGCTAAGTTTATCACTTAAAAGCCTTGTCTCATTGATTTACCATGGTTAATGATAAATGTATTAATTTAATTAAAAAAAAATCAAGGCTATGCATTTAGTTTCTGCGCAAAGTTTCAAGAGTTCCCTAGAGCCCACTAAAAATTAAAATGTTGATGATTTATTTTACAAATAACAAACATATGTTATTACAGGTTTAGGAAATTTAAGGATTAAAGAGTAGACAACTCATAAAAATATCTGTAATAACACATGCAAGATATTTTCTGTAATAACCCTATAGAGTTACAATGTACATCCCTGACTGTTAAGTGGTTCTCTAAAAGAAGATCTTTGTATGTATTTCCCTTAGGGTCCTATGTTAAACTAAGTTTCCCGCTGGCAGCCATCTTGGATGATGGATAGGCTTCAAAGGAACAACACTTGGTCAGCACTTCATAAGGAACATTCATGCCATGTTTGGTTCCATTCCATTCAGTGGTTCTCTAGAAGAAGACATTTGAATGTATTGTCCATAGGGTCCTATGTTAAATAAAGTCCCCTGCTGGCACCCATCATGGATGATGGATCTGCTTCAAAGTAACAACACTTGGTCAGCACCTCATAAGGAACATTCATGCCATGTTTGGTTTCATTCCATTTAGTGGTTCTCTAAAAGAAAACATTTGTATGTATTTCCCTTAGGGTCCTATGTTAAACTAAGTCCCCTACTGGTGGCCACATCTGACACGATAATAAGTCCATACAAGAGGGTAGGAATGCCCTTTACTGTCAGGCGTCAAACAGTCAGTTTGGCTACTGTTAGCGTGAAATTGGTTAAAATTATATCGTGGTTCGTCAAAATATCCTTATCTGAGGGGGGTAGGAGGGGTCCTGATCCCAAAATCCCGGGCTTAAAAACATGGAATCCTGAGGTCCCGAATTTAAAAAAATTTAAATCCCGACATCCCGAAATTCGAAAAAAGAATTCCTGGATCCCGAAAGGATCAATCCTGAATTCCCGAGCTTAAAAACACCCAATCCCGGAGTCCCGATAAAGGTCCTACCCCCCTCTTATCTTGATTCATCAGAGGTCTCTAAATTTATAGTTAACCATTACTGTTATTTTTGGAAAGAATTTAAATCAGTCAATTATTTTATCGTCGTAAAGAAAGTGTATATTTTATCGTCATGTACCAACAGTTACCGTTGACGTCATTTGGCAATTTTATTTACCGTAAAAAGGCGTTATTCGTCATGGGTATCCGGTCGTTCCGTCCCCAAACCAATCCGGCCCCAAGTCGATCCGGCCCAAAGTCGATCCGTCCCAAGTTGATCCGGCCCACGTCGATCCGTCCCTACGTCGATCCGACCCCATAATAAAATATGAATAAACTATATTGACTTTGGAGGATTTTGTAACAAATTTTAACAGTATTTATTTAAATGGAATTTGTAAAAATGATGGATGACAACAGGTAAGTGAAGTATTGGAGTACCAGTCAAAGAATTATTTTAAATCGATACGAAAATGAGTGTGATTGTGTCTGTTTATATAGCAGCGTCAACATATTAATATGAAGTTATTTTCCATGATAACTTTGAACGTCATGGCGATTTTTATTTTATTTAATTCACACACAGAAAAGCTTAATAAATATTTACAGTCCAATGGAACCTATAAAATTTAACTCATCATATTGACTTGTTTTATCAAATCATTAGTCTATAATCGGTTTGTTTATTCAACAATTGTCTAATGATTGTGAACTAAGGTAATGCCACTCGTGATCACTTAATTCAATCAAATCCTGATTGATTAAAGTTACGTAATCACTGGTCTTTATAGTTTGATCTTTTGTTTGGTGTTATGTGTTATAATAATTAATTGTATTTTTTTTCAGGTAACATAAGAGGCTTCTATAACACGTTTTTTTTTTTTTTGTAATATCGAATATAGTCAATATATTTTTTTTAAGTTGACAATATTTTGAATAGTTGTGTGTAGATAAAAAAACAAGTTATATGAGTATCCATTATTCTTTATTGTAAGATAATAACAAAATAATTACACTCGATGCACGTGAAGATCACATCTATTTCTTCATTTACCATGCGTCTGTATTCCAGTAGAGATACTCCTATAAAGGAATTTAAAAAAGTAAATATCTATCTTTATAATGTAAAATACAAATATATAATACACAAAAATAGAATTTACAAGCTTTTTGCCATTTAACACCTGAAAAACACGGAAGTTAATACTCCCAGATTTAAAACAAAACTATATACTTTTTTTCATATTTATGGTTTAATGATTTAATGATGAAAGCAAAGACAAAAATATTTAAGACTTATATACAAAATTACAGTTTGATTATATTAAAGCAAAAAGTGAAAATAGAAACTTACCGGTATTACAGAGACGGTGTTGCCACTTTGAACATTGCTCACATTGAAGTGCATGCTGCCGAGGTCTAACATGTTGGTCACATACCACACAAGGAAAAGCCAGTGTGATTTTAAAAGCAAACGCATTCTGTCTCCTCTTTTATAGAAAGGATTCGGCAAATCAAACAATATTTCTTTTAAGAACTTAAAACAAAAAACAAAGTTTGTATGTATCAGCTTGGGGATCCGCTTGTACCGTTGTGTATGTAACTATTTGTTATTACAAAGGATCACAGTCAATTGAAAGAAAATGCTAATTACTGCTGATTAATGTTGATTATAATTATACCCAATAATCTTGAAAACTTGTAATGAAAACATAATCAACATAGTTGTTTTAAACTCTTTTAAAGAAAATATTTGTCAAACTTAAGGACAATTTTTTTTACCGTACACCTTTTACATTATAATAAAATTCATAAACATTTATGAATTACAATTAACAATGATTAATATATATCTTTATTTTTAATCCTCATAAATATATTTTTTTATTGGGCCGGATCGACTTTAAATATGGGCCGGATCGACGTTGGGCCGGATCGACGTGGGACGGATCGACTTGGGCCGGATCGACGTGGGGCCGGATCGACATGAAACTTCGTCATGAAGGTACCCCCCATACAACTCACCTATAAATCATGGATGACCCTGTCCATAGGCAGATCCAATACCAATATTTAAAAACACAGTACCGTTAATTTGTTCGTGCGTTTTAACATTAGGAATATTGCTGAATGTAAAATCAGGTAACGATTTCTTACAGTTACACAATCGCTGTCACATTTATAGGGAGCCGAAAAGATGCGGGGGAAGAATACGAGAGTTTATGGTTATACTTGATAAACTATCGAACATGTTTCTCCTTTTGGTGGGAGCACCATAAGGGTTCAGTCTGGGAAATCATGCAAATGTCTGATTAACCTATGATAACAAGATACAAGAATTTAAGGAGAAAAGAAAGAAAAGCTAACATGAATTATAGTTTATTATGGGGGGTTGGTGTTGGAAATAAACATTTCCTTCTTTGAAAAAGTTATTTCTCACTCAGTAACATAAATCGATTTTGACCATAGCAGAGACATATATACACATTATATGTCTCTGACCATAGGTAGTTGGGGACAGGGCCATATTTTTAACCCCCCCCCCCCCCCCCCCCCCCCCCCTCTGTATTACATGCACATAAAGTAATTGAAAATAACTTGTATTTTAAATTTTTGTTATTTTTTGTTATTTACTATCAATTCCAAGTTTAATATCCACAGCGGTCACTAATATATGAGGGGGCAAGGGGTTTAACTGTGGCTGTTATGCTGTTTTGGCCGGGCAATTCAATTCTTTGTTACCTGTTATTCTGAAAATATATTTGCTGTTAGCTGTTATTGTCTTATTTCTTGTTAGCTGTTATTGGACTATTAGTTTTTTTGTTATCTGTTATTGTGAGAATGTATTTGCTGTTAACTGTTATGGAAAATTGGCCGACATGTTAGCATTTTGACAGCCATCTTCGGTAGAAATTGAAGATCATTGAACATTCGGGTCTTTCCACTAGTAATATGGTGGTCCCGTATTCGGAGAAGGATTCAATATATCTAAATGCGAAATTATCTGGCTTCACTGATGTTCTTGTTTTTGACAAGTTTCTGAAGGAACTAAGAGTGCTAAAATAACTGCCAACTGAACTCTCATTTTTACTTCAATCTATCGTTAAGGAAATCATTCAAGTTGTGTTGAAAAGCGCCAACATCTGCCCAGTATATAAGAAAAACTATCATGAGATCAATTTTAAGTAATTACAGACTGGTCTCGCTCACATTAATTTTGTTTTATGTCAATTTTGTACAAAGTCAGGAATGTGGCAGTTGTTATCAAATAGTCCGTTTCTATGTATGTGCACGTTTGTTTTTGTTGCAGTTCAGTGTTTCTGTTGTTCCGTCGTTTTCCTCTTATAGTTGATGTGTTTTCCACGGATTAAGTTTGTAACCAGGATTTGTTTTCTCTTAATCGATTTATGACTTTTGAACAGCGGTATACTACTGTTGCCTTTATTTGGAACATATATTTTGCTCAAATTTGATACATTATTTCGAAAAGAACAACAGACAATATGCTTTCAGGAAACATCCTATAGCTGCGAAACCAAACTATTAAATGTCATTATAAACGATCAGGCAAGTGCCATCGACAACCGGCAACAAGTATACACATTTATCTAAAATTTTGAAAAGGGACACCATCAACAGGATTGCATACTCAATACACATGGCTTAATTACTACAAAGATTCATGAACTGGATAAAATAATTCCTGACTTATATGTAGCAATGTGTAGTTGTAAACGGGAGTAAATCATGATATTATATGAATTTGGGTCCCCAAGGAATAGTTCTTGGTTCTATCCTGTTCTGTCCACATAAACGACATATAGCGGCTCATGTGACATCGAAGATCAGGCTATTTGCAGGCGACTGTCAATCTCCGGCGCTGAGATCATATCCGTTCCGTTCAATACATCGTAACACTGCACTCAATATTACTTAGTGTAGTAATGCGGAGCATGTATGGAACGGATATGAGCTCTGCGCGAAAGATTGGACAACAAATCTTACAGAACACTTGGGTTGTTAAAATGAAATCTGTCATGCGGCTCTACGGAGGTAAAGCTGCAGTCGTCAAAGGGACTAATAAGACCTGTCGTTGAATATGCGAGCACAGTATTGGACCCACAACAAATTTATTTACAAGACAAACTATAAAACATCAGAATAGAGCAACGAGATTTTAAATATCTAAACACAGTGACGACCCAGGTGGTTTGACTTAATCCTAAACCAAACTTAACGTCTAGAACCACCGAAAGAAAGACGGAAATACTGATTTCATTTTGCAAATGCATACGTCAACTGGCCGAACTATCAGCAGAAAATCTTCAACGACTACAATGACAAACAAAGAACATGTATAGTAAACACTTTATCATAATCTAAGCCTAGACGGACACCTTACAATTCAGCTTCCTACCAAATACAATTACAGATTAGAACCTTCTACTTCCGGATATTATCACCAAGATGCAATTCGAACCAGCTAAGTTGTTCATATATATATAGAAGTTTCAAAGGGGGGGGGCAAATTTCGTAAGTAAGTTATTAATCTTGACACACTTGCGATGTAGTAATATCCATGACGTGACATAGTATCCAATCCAGATCAAGATGAGAAAGGCAGAGTTGTGCAGATAGAGAAGCCAGTATCATAATAATTTTTTGCTGATGAGACAGAAACTAACTACTGTTCACAGTACCATTATGTCGTAATTGAGTTATCATCAGATCTAAGATGGAAACCACCTATGAAATATTCATCGCAAAAGCCCAACCGAGTGACTAGGATTCAGTGTCACAACATGAGGAAATGTTCACAAGACATTACAATACAGGCATATACATCTAGAATATGCCTCTGCAGTATGGGATTCATAGCCAAACCAGATCATTGAAACCCCTCAACATGGTCTAAAGACGAGCTGCCATATTTGAAATATCTGTATACAGCCGAGAACTAGCTGAAAATGGTAGACTAACTTTACAATACAACACCTGGTGAAGAAGCAGTGAATATACCATCATATTTGTGGAGACCAGACTAAAAATTTAACCACCTCAACCAGATAATCCATCAAGAGAACTTTTCAAGACCAAGACTCCACAGAGTCAGATGCGAGCACGTGCAGTTATATACCACTCAACAACACTAACCTGAACAACCTGTTCTCTGAAGCCTTCCAAGCTACATTTCCGGTTTATGTTTGCACAGCACATTTGCGTTATACGATTGCAACTGCAGATCAACAGCAAGTATAGCGGACCCAGGCATAGTATTTTATTAAGCCTTAACCAAATTAAATGTCTAGAACCACTGGAAGATAGGCGGAAGACTGATTTTCCACAATACGAATACAGGGTGTGTTGGCTTCCTCATGTTCCTGAAGAGAAACCTTATAATCTATACCGCACCGGCAACATAAAATCTTGTGTATATCAATCTATAGTGAGACTAAAACTTGAAAACAATAGTTTATAGGATCAACATAAAAAAATAATACAAACCAATCTAGAAATGTCACAAAGGTGTGCTGCCGGTTTTTTTTTATTACAACAACCGTAACACCAGTACTGTTACATCCATCATAAACAATTTTAAATGATAAATCTTTATTTATCCAAAAGAAACTACCCTCGTATATTTTTACGTTTTATGTAAGTTTAGTAATGTTCAACCTCATCAATATAGTTTCATAAAAGTATAACGATAAACAATGTTGAATAGCTCTCACTTGCTGAGTACCGCATCAAAATCAGGCTAACTTAAAGTTAATCAAAGACTCATTGCAATTCCATTTCAGTTCTAATCCTAACAGATAATAGAAATGTGCCGTTGAAAAACGAAAGTTGTTTCTGGATGAAGTACTAAATTTTTTAAAGTATTCAAGTATAAATCTATAAAAATGAAGATGAGAACAACTACAAGATCATATTTAAAGTTTAAAATTCTTTTTAAGTTTATCAATAAAGCATTTGAACTTAAGAATACGAATTTGTTATTTATTTTGGTTTTCAAGTTTTATTTTAATAGACCGGTATTACAAACATCGAAATGCTTTGAGGTGGCAGGTACCAGTTTTGGTGTACCAGAACATGTGTCCCACGCAGAAATTTGGTTATAGTTAAGCATTGAGGTATATAGTTGCATCATGTGGACTGAAAAAATAAATGAATGTAAATTCTAGGCTATTATACTACACAAGTAAGTAGTTGCATGCACAGGTTGGGGATTTCCTTTACATATGGGTCCAATCAGAAGTCAAAATTGTGGTCTCCTCACTTGACGGCATCCAATCAAAGTGGGGAAAAAATTCAGTTTTATGTAAACAAAAATATCTTGAGATTTTGATGGTAAGGATAGGTTCGGACAAGGTTCTAATTCACTGAATATCATTTATCTCTTGAATTTTGCCTAAAATTCTTGTCTGCTATTAGCAGGATTCTGCAGGTGAGGATTAGATTTGTATCAAAGCATCACATGTTTTGCCTTATTTACAATGCATTTATAAATTTTAAAATCTCCATGCTGGACAGACACCCAAATTTAAAGGTTTTCTATATATTCACATAACTACGCACACATCTTAGTTACTTAAAACCATACATTTTATTTGTATATAAGCTTGAATGAATTTTCAAGAAAAAAAATCATAAATCCATGAAATTCTAAAGATTTATTGTAAAATAACTGGTTTCTGCCACCTGACCATGTTGACTTAAAAATAATGCAATATAACCGTAGATTAAAATTATCACAGTTTGAATTTAATTGTATTAGAATAATTTTAGCTCACATGTTTTCTTTATTGGCTTCTCTTTATTTAATATCTTCAAAAGGTTTTTAAGGATAGGATGAAAGTACAAGTTGTGTAAAATATTTTATTCTATTTATAGATACTTTAAAATTTAAAAAAAAAACATAAACACCAGAGTTATTGTTCCTTACAGTCCCATATTATTTTATTTAGCTTTATTCGGAATTTTAAAGAAAGAAATAAAAAAAATAGAACCAGATTACCCACTGCTGAAGGAAAATTTTTGGGTTATTAATATCCTCGTCTATTTAAAGCGTTTGATTACGGGTGAAATAACCAATAACACTTCTTATTGTTATTGTCGCTACATCGATAACGTTTATAAATGTTTTCATCTAATTTTCATTCTTCCATGATTTGATAAAGATAGCAATCCCGATA